CCGCCGCCATCACCCAGCGGTAGAAGCCCACGCAGGCCGCGCAGCACAGCTCCGAGCTGGGGGCGACACGGGGGGCACGGGTGGGTGCCGCCCCTGCCGCCCCCAAGTCCACCTGCCTCCAAGAGCAGCCGCCAGGGCCGCCCTGGGCACCGGGGTCCCGGGGCGGGGCCGGCGCTGCCTGCCCGGTCCCTCGTCCCTCTGCTCCTCCAGCCGGCCGCTCATCCCTGCCCCAGGGCCTTTGCCTGTGCCGCGGGCCCACCTCATTGCCCCCAGTCCCTCGAGGTTGGGACCAAGACAGCCCAGTCGGGTCCTAAGCCGGCAGAAGTGCCAGCCCTGCACCCCGTCTTGAGTTCCGCGGGCCTGGCGGACCGCACCCTCCTCTAGCCTGACCCAACCCGGGCCCATACCACATCCAGTGTGAATGTATGAACTGCCCTTTACCCCTCCCCGCCAGACCCACAGGCCTGCAGGACCCAGGGCTGGTGGGAAAGAAGAAGGGGTGGGTGAAGGACTCACGGGCAGGGATGCAGGCTCTGCACAGCCATGACCGCCAGCCCGTTGGCCACCTTATCTGAGAAGCTCATGGCACCATACACAAAGGCTCCACTGTCCTGGGGGACAGAGGTCCGGGGGGCGGGTTAGTGCCCGGCCCGTGGGGCGGGTTTCCCGGCCTCCGGGAGTGCTGTCTGCAGTCCTACCGTATGGGGGCCGATGAGGTCGGCTGTCATGGCCAGCGAGGTGACGAGGATGGTGGCAGAGCCGGCGCCCAGCAGCACCGCCGCCGCGTACACGGCCAGGCCCAGCGTGTCCGCCAGCGCCACCCAGGCGGCGAAGGCCAGGATCACCAGGAGGCCGGCGAAGTAAGTCAGCTGCGGGGGAGGAAGTGGAGGCGGCCCAGCCGGGTCAGGCCCACGCCGGCCCTGGCACTCGCACCCTCTGGCGGTCAGCCCCTGCGCCCGCCACGGAGGGACTGGAGTTGGACAGCCACCGAGATAAAGGACTTGCCACACTTGCAAGCTTTGCAAGGCACGGGGCATGGAGGGTGGGAGGCGGAGACCCCAGAGCCCCCCATCTGCGCCTTTGGGGTCCCCCCACACGCACCAAGTCCCGGGTGTTTGTCCACTCACGTTCCGCCCCATGTACTTGTTGACCGGCTTCATGAGGAAGGAGGAGCAGAAGCCGCTGAGGTACATCACCAGGGGAATGGTGGCGATGAACTTCTGTAGGGGCCACAGCACCAGCGATCCACACGGGGCCCGTGGGGTGGCCATGCGGGGCCCAACGCGCCACCCCCCAACCCGCCCCGGCCAGCTCACCTTGGGCAGGTGGAGGGAGTAGGTGAGGTACATGGCCACGTAGGTCTGAGACAGGTTCACGATGAGCCTGGTGCTCATGTACAGCACGCCCACCTGCGGGTAGATCAGCAGAGGGACAGCTAGAGAAGGGTCAGCAGAGGCCGCTCCGCAACCCACCAGCAGGGGGCCCTGGGGCCCCGATGAGAACTCCCAGAGACCCATCTCCTTAGCTGTGACTGCACGGCAGGGACCAATAGGAATGAGAGACTTGATCAACTGGTGATGTCTCCCATGGGTGTGGGATGAGAGATGGATTGCTAATGTCTGCCCTGGGGGTAGCAAGGTCACATGGGTTGTGTGTGCCACCTATTGGCTGAGGAGTAGGCCTGGCGGGAAGGGGGGTGGCCCACTCCAGCCCCCCCCCATCCCCACATCGTACCTGGTAGAAAGCTGGCTCCTGCAGCCAGTGCTTCCAGAGCAGCAAGGGCCGGGCTGAGGGGGCCAGCAGAGGGCTGCGCTCGTCGGGCTCCTCCGCCCTCCGCGGGCGCCCCTCCCTGGTGCCCAGGTGGAAGAGCAGTGAGAAGGCGGCGCCCACACCCACCACCAGCAGGGCCAGGTTCTGGAGGACGGCAGGAGAGGGGCCAGGGGTCAGAGGCCAGGGGTCAGGCAGTGCCAGGGGCTCAGGTCTCCCAAGCGGCCTGCCTAGGTGACCCCCAGCTCACCCGGAACACGGGCACATCCTGGGCCCCCAGCTGGTCACCCACATCCACGTCCCGGGCAGGGGCCTGCAGGTGGAGGAGCAGCCAGGCAGCGCCAAAGACGGCGATGTTGGCCACCACGGTGAAGGCGTACCTGGGGGAGGGTGGGCCGGGCTCAGCAGGTGCGGGACCCCTCCGCCGCCCCCCCCCATGGAAGTCAGGGGACCCCTCCGCCGCCTCCTCCCCCCCCATGGAAGTCAGGGCCACCGGCCGCCTCCAGAGGACCCCTAGCTGTCGACAAGTGCAGCCACCGGTGTCCCAGGCCTGCCTCAGTTTCCCCAGCCGACACAGGGCTCACCCCCACAGAACCTATTCACCTGCCTAGGGCCAAGTGCAGACCTAGTTACCGAGTCCCCCCCACATCTGAACCAAGCGCCTGCTGGAAGGGCCCCGACTCTGGGATTCTGTTCCCAGATGCCTGAGCTCCCACCAGCCCAGGAATCCAGGGTCTAGAACCGTCTAGGCCTCTTTCCTGCAGAAGAGAAACACCCTGGGCAATGGCGGTGGTTAGCCGGGGAGTCTCACAGGGAACCGAAAGGCAGGGCTGGGAGGCGGCGGGGCCGCACGGAGCTGTGCGCCAGCCTGGCTCTCGGGGTTCTGTGGCAGGGCGCTCGCGGTGCAGGGAAGCTCTGGGCTGCGTCCCCGCGCCACGCATCCAGCTGCAAGCCAGTTCCTCTTCTGGAATGAGGAAGTGGGGGCACCGCCAGCGTCAGCACCCCCACTAAAACCCAACTCTGCCCTCCGCTGAGGCGCACAGCGAGCACGTCACCTCCCGGGACGAGTCATCCTGGGCGGGCCTGGCCTAATCAGGTGACTTTCACCTCGAGCCCCAACTCCCTGCTGCACAGCTGTCATCCCTCCACTCTGGAGGCTTGAGGCAGGAGGATCACAGAGAAAAAAAGGGGGGAGGCGGGAGAGGTGTTTCCATGAGGCTCAGCCCAGTCAGCATCTTCCTTTCGGCCGCCCGAGGACAGGCTGTTCACACCCGGGGTGTGTGTGTGTGTGTGTGTGTGTGATGTTCCGCAGAAGTAGCTGACAGATGCACCTTTCCCTCCATGCTCCCGGCTGGGGCCCTGGGGTACCTGAGGGCGGTGAGCTCCACCTTCTCGTGGTCGGTGGTGGCCAGCACGGGGATGAGGCTGAGGTGGGCGACCTGCGTGGCGGCCCAGCCGAACTGGAAGATGACGATGAAGGGCGCGTAGTAGAGCAGGGCCACCCACTCGGGCGTGCGCTCCCCGCAGCCCAGGCACGGGCTGAAGATGAACGGGAAGGACAGCAGGACGCAGATGGTGCCTGTGGAGGCAGGGGGGATGGGGCCACGCCACGCCGTGTCACATCCGGGGCCGCCCCGCGCCAGCCCAGGGCTCCCAAACACACGTGGGGGTGGGGAAACTAAGGCACAGCAGGCATGCCCCCCCCCCGCCCCATACTGTAACGAGGCCCAGCTGCTCCTGCATGGGGACTTTAACCACGGCCCCCCCCCCCGTGTTCTGGTGACATCCATGGGGGGGAGGACAGTCACCCTGTGGGGACAGCCAGGCAGCAAGGGTCCGGGTGGCCCTGGGCCAATCGATCCGTCCTTCACTCATAAAAAGGCGCCTCCCAGGGAACTGAGGTGACCAAGCCTCCCCAGGAACCGCAGCCCCCGCCCCCTCCCCTCCTCCAGCGGACCTCAGGACCTTTACGCGTGCTATGTGCTCCGCCTAGATGGCTCCTCCCTCCCATCATAGCAAAGTGGCCCCTCCGGCCTCTCCCCATCTTCCCCACCAGAGCTCAGCTCCACAGGTGGGCACGGGTCCTCTCAAGTCCCCTCTGCGCCCCAGGGATCCCCGGACCCATCCAGACTCGGGAGGATGGGTTGAATAATAAACACGGAGCCTCAACTCAGAGCTCAGAGTGGTGCTGTGACCACCGTGCAGCAGGTGAGGAGATGGAGGCCAAGCGCAGAGCTCTGAGCCCACGGCCAGGGCCACGGCGGTGACCTCCCCCTGCCTCCCCGCCTCTGCCTCTGCCCCTCCCTCCTTCCTCTGGCATGGAAATGGACTCAGCCCACAGCCCGTCCTCCTCTCAGCCAGATGGAAGCGGAAGCGGTCAGTTCCCAGAGGCGGGCGGGGGGGGGGGGGGGAGGGGCAGCACTAGACTGTGAACTCCAGGGAGGAAAACTGGGCCGGCTCCCCGAGGCTGGCATCAAACGGCCTGGCTTGGGGTCCTGGGGCAAGCGACTTGGCCGCTCTGGGCTCCCAGGAAAGGTCCTGCCTCCCGGGATTGGCAGAAGGACTGATCTTCAAGGCTGGCGGGATCCCTCCTCAACCCTGGGCCACTTCCTGACTCAGCCGTTACATACCCTCTCTCAGCTGCCCCTCCCGCCTACACACTCCTACTCACCTGTCAAAACCCCAAAGCTAATGTCCCTGTCCCCCATTGCCCTCCACCCCCCCACACCCATCTCCACCACTCAGACTCAGGAGTGAAATAGAGAAGTGGGCACCATTGCCAGGGTGACTGTTACTCATGTCCTTATCAACTATTAGGAGATACTTCCCTGTCTCCCTTTCTCAACTGAGAACTGGGAAGGGGTTTAGGCTGGGGCCTTAGGGCCATTTACCAGGGGTTTTATACAAACACAAGCCTGCACCCCTGTGGCCTCCACTTCTTCTGGTGCCCCAGCTGCCTCCTCTGGGGTCAGTGGGAGCCTCCCCAGACTTCAGACCTCCCCCTCAGGACAGGAGCCAGGGGGCTCTGCACTGATCACATGCCCGACCTCAGGGCCTTTGCACATGCAGTGTCCTTTGCCAGGGATCCCTTCTCCAGGCTGGCTGAGGAGAGGAAGGAAGGTGGGGGGGGAGGGGGATCCCCTGCGGCTCTCCTCCACCCTGCACAGGAATTCCCTCGCGCATTGGGACTCTCCAGCCTACACGGGGCTCTGCCCTTCACCCGGGCATTGGTTCAGAGGAAGGGCAGCTTGGCCACCTCTGTTTCCTCGCCCCACAGGGCTGCCATAGTGAGGTGACCCGGGTCCACCCCGGTGACCTCACAGCCCCGGGGCCTCCAAGCAGTCCACCACGGTCACCCACAGGTCTCAAGGTTCACTATAATCTTGCAAAAAGTGCCACTCAGGAGGCCGGGCGTGGGTCAGAGCACGCCCCGTCCCCCAGGGCAGAGGGGCTCCTGGGCGGCCAGGGCAGGCTCCTCTCCCGGGCTTATCAGAGGGGCCAGCGCGCACCCCTCCAGGACTCCACCCCAGCCCGCACCGGGGGACCCCGGGAGGGACAGCAGATAAGTCTCGAGCCCCCCCCCCCCGCGCAGCACTGCCTGGGACGGTCAACGGGTGGGCTTGAGCTGGACCAGACAAACAGACAGACGGACAGGAGGCGCTGGACAGGCGGATGAAGCCGGCACCCCGGGGTGTCACAGAGGGAGAGGGGCCAGCCCGACGGGGGAGGCCGGCTGTGGGACAGACAGACGGACTGGGGCGCGGCCGGCGGGGGGGGGGCAGGCAGATAGGCCGGGGAGGAGGCGTCGACCCTGAGGCCGCCCGGGGCTCCGAGGGCGGTGGGACGGGGTCAGGAGGGCGCTACGGGGGACGGACGGACGGACGGACGGACAGGGGAGGAGACGCGCCAGGGGCCTGGGTGTGACT